GAGAAAAGTACTAGGGTCACATGTGTAGTATCATTACCTCCAATTCAACATATATAATTAAGTTTGGCTGGGAAAGTTGGATGATCTCTTCTCCTTCATTTGCTTCTCAAGGATTGTATGCCATGCGAGTTTAATATCTACAATAATACAGCTTGCCTACAGATTAAACTAATGAAGTAATGGAAGTAGGTGCAAGAGTCTATATACCGGTCTCAGTTGCCGAGACTAGGATTTCCAAGAGATTTGACACCATACCGAGTGGAAGTCTGTATCCAAATGCTGATGAGATAGATTATCTGCAGAGGCTCGTTAGGTACAAGGCATGTCTCAAATTCAAGTACTACTCGTTCTGTTCTGTTATTGTTGTTTGCATGTCATTATCACTGTGTAGCTGTTATTTATGTGTATTGGAGGTAAAAAATGGCTTATATCTTATATTCATTTTTCTTTCTATTTAGTGTTCTCTTTTCTGGTAGTCAGGCGTGTCTATTGACATGTCTTTGTCTGTTCTCATCTTATATTGGTGAATGCTATTTCCCCAGTTTTGTAGTTTCCGTGCACTGTGTTTTCTCTTTATTTTTTTGAGTGTATGATGGTTCAAATTTCAGGATCCTGCTATCCTTGTGCTCAATAAGCCCCCGAAGCTGCCAGTCAAGGTTAGAAATTTCTTCCATATCACTAATTCAGTTCTTCTGTGTTGTCATTAATTCAGTCATTTTCCTGCTATGGCAGCAAATTACTTGCTAACTTCTTTGTTCATCATGATGTCTTAAGGGAAATTTGCCAGTACATAACAGCATGGATGCATTGGCTGCTGCAGCTTTATCTTATGATTACGATGAAGGTCCTAAGTTGGTAAGCTTTTAGTACTATAGAGTTGAAATGAATGTTGACATAGAAAGGTTGAGAAAAGGAAAATAGTAATAATTTCTGTGATTGTTAAACATTATTTACCTAATGTCTTTATTTCAAAAAAAAAGTTATTGACCTAATATCTATGTCTTATTTTACCCATTTATGTAGAGGCACAGTCTGGCAATACATGATTATCATCAAAACTAATTGCATTTGAGGATATTGCTGGGGAAAGAGATGATTTTTTCATGATGTTTGGATTTTTTTTTGGGGGTCAAACCAGCTAAGCTGGTTTTGGGGGAAAAAGCTGTGAAGCTTTTGCTTCACTTCAAAAGCCACTTAAAGCTACTTTGCAAACAAAGAACTGGATAGACTAACATTCTTTTTAGTGGCTTTAAGCAGATGCACAATAAAAGTTTGTTTGACTAACATTTTGGGACTAAGAAACGACTTCATCAAATTTGGAATAACTATCTTACTTTTTGTTTTTAAAGGATAATTTTACATTTATGAACTTATTGTAATATATTTTTTTTCTGGTTTAGAATTGTATTATGTACTTTGATTGTGTTATTATGTAAGTTGTATTTCATCATTGAACGTAATTAATGATTAAATAAAAATAATTATTAGAGAAATGACGAATTAGGTTAAAGGGTATAAAAATCAATTACACCATATGTAGTAAATTAGATTAAATGGTAGAAGAGTAAATTACACTTTATGTAATTAATTATTTATTTCATTTTCGTCCTAGAAAATTTGTATATATAGAATTGTAATGTTCAACAAAATACATATAAACCATTCTTGATGTGGTATCAAAACCTTATATTGTAGAAACTTTGGCCTTAGTTACAAGGCAGATAGGACAATTAGGAGATTATAAAGTGAGATTGATGACAAAATTATATACAGACATATGGGATAGATTATCAGGAGACATTCACATCAGTAGCCAAG